GTTTCTTCCTCTAACCTTAACCATACTTTTGTGTTTTTAATTTTGTTTTGTTGATTTTTGTATTTTCCAAAAATGAAAAACTCGACTTATTTTCAAGTCGATATAAAAAGAAGAATGCAATAGCAGCCACTTTAAGCATCATAATTGCTAAAAATTCCCCAACTTGCGCGAAAACCTTCAAGAAAAATGGCACAAAACCGATTGCATGCAATGCCATTCAAGTTTCAAGAATCTTGCAGAAAACAATCAGCTGACTCACTTCTGCGCATGCCCTCGTTCATCTTTCTTGCATATTGCAGATTGAATTGCAAGCTGTAAAACGGCCTTTAGTTCATTGCCGATCGGTCAATAGACCTATCAATTTTACCAGACGAGGTGATAATACGAAAACCTTATTAGATAGAAAAAGACGCAGAACGCTTATTGCGCAAGACGAGGCAAAACGTACCAAACCATGTTAGACTTATGTATAGCAATCTGTTCTTATTATTTGCACGGGATAAAAAGGGAAGGAGGAAAATCGCGGGACCTGCAACGTATTTGTCAATCAAAAACACAAACAATTGAAAATCGATCACTTGTCAAGCTACGTCAAGTTGAAGATCAAGCATAATTTTATCCTTGTCAGACCACGGGCAATGAACAAGGACAAGGAGATGTCCAGCGTGCGAAAGGATCACTTCACACCTGTACTAAGCCAATAAAAACGCATTGCCTCGTGTTGCGCGCGCATATAGGTAAAAATCGATAGATCTATTGCTTGAGATGGCTAATAACGTTCCAAAATGCATCAGAAAAATCTTGTAACCGTACTACACCCAAGGATAATACACACTATTAACCAAATTACCAAAAGTGAGGCCGATAAGCCATCCTTAGTAGTGTGTATTATCCTTGCATGCTGTCTACGTCACAACTGGTGATTTGGCGTGGTGGGGGGGGCTTCAGATTTGTTCCAAACAGGCCTTATGAGGATAGGCTATCCTGTAGTAGTGTGTATTATCCTTGGACTAAAGACTTAACTTTTACCGGAATTTTTTGACAGATACCGGTTTATTTAACCGGTGCCCATTTTCTAATACCATGCATGAAAAATGATTATCCACATGAAATCATCTTTTTAATACCCAAGAATCGTAAACTCTACAGGATTGCTCAATCCCATAAGACATACGTTCATAAACTGTACCTCAGAGGTAAATTGTATTAAGTCATAATATTATAATTTAATATACTAACGGCCAGTTCCATAAATATGGCGTTAGGTCGGCTTTAAGAAAAGAACACTTTTCGTTAAAGTATACTTTAAGCATCCCTTAAAGTTAGCTGGGTTCCATAAAACATTTTAAATCGTCTCTTACAAAAAGGAGTAATTATCGGTTTTCCCGATTTGGCAACACTGAAATTAAAGAGATGAAGTTGGTTTTGACGTGTGTTGACAAAAATTCTAGCCATTTCAGAAATGATTGATATAAGTGCAGAGGCTCTGTGGTGCAGAGAACAAAATGAAAGTCCCTTTTCAAAGGAGGAATAAGTCCGTTTATTGGAAGCTATTTATGAAGAGCGCAAAATTAAAATTCTTGAAAATAAAGAAACAAATAAATTAACAAATGCAGACAAGGTTTGTAGTTTCGATTTGGTTTTATCCTATGCATGAAATATTCTAAGGAGAAGGCTTGAGGTAGCTTTAGCTTACAGTTTACAATGGTAGTGGAACGGTTGTAAGAGATGTAGATCAATTGAAGCGTATTATCCAGTGTAGGGCTTCAACAGTCGGTTTTGTTAACCTAAACCGGTCAAAGAATTCTATGTCGTCATATTTTTCAAAACAATCCACTCTAATCCTGTATCGCTCAATATAATTTTACATCCTCTTCATCTGAATGGATCGAAATATGCCATCTGTGTTTAGAAACTGTAATTTGGCACTTTTTATAGGTTGAGTTGCCCTATAAAGTAGGTACTCTTTTCAACGCGTAATTGGCCAAGCTCGGCACTTTAAGGTAAACGTTACTTTTTCGTAATGGCTCCTTCAAAAACTGTTTATGGAATAGATTTTAGAAGTTAAAGGAGCTTTTTAAGAATAAAGTAGGCTATATGTGTATGAAATTTTTTCCAGAGGTCAAGTAGTTATTAGAAGTAGTATTCAGCCAAAAACCCAGTTTCGAAAAAAAAGTGACTTAATACAGATTACCTCTGGAGTGCGTTCGAAATCACCCTGGGCGTCAAACCGAGTGCACACCAGCCATGAATAATTCATAGATGGTGTGCACTCGGTGTGACGCCCAGGGTGATTTCGAACGCACCCCTGAGGTACAGAAATACATATATCGAAAATAGAGGAATGCGAGTGACGTCACGCAGTCCTTGATCGGTTTGTTTTTGATTATGACAGTGCATTTTCCTTGCATTTTTAAACGTGAAAAATTGTTATTTTAAGGTTATTTCCTTTGAAAACTGTGTTTTTCAAATTTAGCAGACTTCAAAAGTTTGTGTGCTTGAGTCGTTAGTCAATTACGAAGTCGAGTTTGTTTCTTCTCTGCTTATCAGCAAGGTAATTTCAAAATACCTATATAACTATTATATTAAAATGTGCATGCATTTCTTTTACCTTTTTTTAAGGCAACAAACAGGCACATTTATAAAATAGATATGCCCGGAATGAGATGTGCTGTGTATGGGTGTAATAACAACAGTGGCGTAGCCAGGATTTTGTCTTGGGGGGGGCAAATTTGCAGGAAGCGTCTTTTGCGGCCCTACCGCGACCGCTGCCAGAGGCAAAGCGCCGCAGGCGCGAAATTTTTGGGTGCCACGCCCCTTTTTCAGGTTTCTTTACGCTATTTTTGGGACTGTTTATCTTAATTTTGAAGAAATATTCATAAAATTTAAGGGTCTTGGGAGGGGCAAATGCCCCCTTGCCCCCCCCGTGGCTACGCCAGTGAATAACAACTATTTTGATCAAAAAGCAAGCACTCAAAAATCTGAATTTCATCGCTTTCCTAAAGGGAAAGATCTTGTATCCAAAACTATTCGAAACGAGTGGATAGTTTTATGTAAAAGAAAAGACAAACTCAATGAAGATACATACATTTTTTGCATTTTATTATCAAAATATAAGCGAAACGTGGTTGCAATAGTGTGTTTTATTTTTTAATGTCTCTACCTATTACTCAATAGGGTACTTGCATGGAAAATTAAATTGATTATTGTTTATTGCAAACTGTGGGAAATCGAAAAAAAATCGTTACTTTTTTTTCATTTCGCCCAAATATGATTATTTCGGAAGTTATACAAATATTAAGTTTTGTATATATAGATATACTGAGCATGTGCGACGTCATAAAATATTATACCTGATGACGTCATAGGCATATTTCATAGCGTTGTATCTCCGTCAATTTTTGACTAAGAAGAAAAAGAAAAAACACGTGTTGACTTATTTTTCATGGACTATCGAAATCAGCAATAAAAAAAATTGATGCAAGGGGCCTATTAAGCCAGGCGCAAACCAGAGCGGTGCCGGTGGCGGGCGCGGTGGCGGGCGCGGTGGCGGGCGCGGTGGCGGGCGCGGTGGCGGGCGCGGTGGCGGGCGCGGTGGCGGGCGCGGTGGCGGTGGCGAACGAATACTGCACATGTGAATAAATCACCGCGTGCATACTGCGGCGAACTGGAAAACGCGCCCGCCGTTCCTGCAGCGTTCTACCGCGGCTTTGCGGCGGTCACATTGCGATCGGCGGTAGAACGCTGCCTGCATCATTTTTCCGCCTAGTTCGCGCGATCTGCATCAGTACAGCGAAGTGCAAACATGTGTGATACTGAAAAACTTAACGAAAATGTGCGAGAAAAAAAAAAAAAAGAAAACAAGGCTTTTTCTTCCATGTCTTGGGCACTCATTGCGTACTTTTACAGTCAAAATTAAAGATAAAAATGACAGTCAAGTAGCACCTGGTGAAACAAAGATTAATAAAAATTAAAAAAGAACAGAGAGCAGTTCATCAAAATATTCCAGTAGAGCAAACTGCAACCAATCTTGTATCAGAAGCGAAAATGAAAATACTGAAAGTACTAATATTTGTCGCGGAAAAAACTCGTTGGTTTGCGGATATCTAGTTCGCTTCGTCACCGCCACCGCGCCCGCCACCACCATCGCTCTGGTTTGCGCCTGGCTTTATCATTCGATAGTTTAATAGGTAGCTACTAGAACGATTTAATATGGACATTCAAAGTAATAGCTTATCTCACAAAGCCAAATAGTGATACCTAATTTAGATTTTCATAATCAAAATCCAGAAAAACACTGCAAGTTTCCCATATTTTCCATGCGTCTACATAGTAAACGCGCCAGTAAAGGAATTTATTTACATATTTACTCATTTATTCACAAACACTAATTTCTAGTAATTACATGCAAAGAAAACTTACAACTGAGTAGTTATTTGATTTACAAAAAAAAAAAACAATACAATAGCTTGACTAGGAAATACAATGAGGAAATACTAACAGTAGAAAACTAACCAATACACACGAATAAAGGAAAGCTATGTCCTGATGCAAAAAATCTAGTATTATAAAACCACTAAAAACAGGAAATTTTTGGGGTTTCCGGGATTATTTTCAGCCATGAGTCTTTTATGCTTACACACATTAAATGAAACTTTGAATTGCACTTCTTATAACACTTGATAAACTTTGAATTTACGATAAAATAATTGTCAGCATAAACTGAACCATCATTCGTATCGGCGGCCATCTTGAAAGTCCGGACTGCACGTGACGTCACAGCACTTGTGAACAAATTTAGCCGATTGAGCAATGCTGTAGAGTTTAGGATTCTTGTTAACACCTTATTTATTCCTGTTCTACGTTCTTACTCAAAAAACGCATAGGAATAAACACTTCAAATTTTTTTCAGTAATAAGATAAGCATAGTGGTGTTCCAAATTGACTGAATCCGTGCAAGATGAGCCAAACAATTGTTGCACTTGCTCTACCAATGAAATCGCTAGTAAAACAAAAAAGGTTTATGTGCATAACCTAAAAAAATAAAAACGAAATACAAAATTTAAAGGCCCCCAGATTCTTTGGGACTGTTGGACAACAAAGGGCTATTATTTATCAAAGAAGAAGAAATTAAAAGGTGTGCGGTGCCAGAGTGGTGAGGCAGACATGTCATTAACATTAGCAAAAATATTATTCAATTTCACTCCTCTACGAGTTTGCAGCACAAAATATCAGCGAAACGAAGTTACAACGCTCTACAAACATCTTTTAAAACAGTGTCAGAAGCTGCCCAAAGGTCCAAAGGAACATTATCAATTTATGATTAAACAGGTCTGCAAATTCTAAATTTTCTTCTCAATATTCTTTATTTTCCTCCCTAATTTCTAGCCTAGCCTCTGTATAAATTGGGTTTTGACTTTTCGATTTTAGTTTTTGCTAGTTCACAATTAAGTTTATGGTTCAGACACTATCAAACGTGCATTATTACTACCTACCACAACACAAAAAAAGCGTACAAATAAATACATCAAATAGGCAAGACAAGAACACCCCGAGGAACACCCTTTGTGTGAATGAAATACCTACATTATATCAATTATATGATCATTGTCTACCCAATGAGAAGATTAAAGCCTCGATTGATTTAACCATTATGAAATATTGCACTTTCTGTATAGCTTTTTTGTAGGGATCGACCGATACCGCTATCGGTATCGGCCGATATGTTAACCACGAAATCGGCCTAAAAAATATAAAATGCTCAATATTTCAGTTGCTAAGAATTTAAAACAGAAATACTAAATAGAAAACAAATCAAGTTTATTCTTATTCAAAATTCAGCAAAAAAAGTCATTAAAAATGTAGAAGTTGAGTAACACACTAAAAGCCGGTTTATTCAGTAATCAGTAATCCCATTGGTCGGCCAGTTATCCGCAGACCAATAGAATTATAGAATGGTGAATTTATCTTGCAGATAGTTACCAGTAAGTTAATCTGAAGATGAATTAAAAAAAAATATATATATATTATTGCAACTTTGTACATCAATGGAAAAAATTCTATTTTTTTGCGCCCATCAAGTCAAAGGATCTTCATTTCTTGATATTCTTCTAATTCACCGTATAGATTTTTATTCCGCTGGGTATTATACAAAATATGGAATTTTCTTTGCATTTCGGCAAATCGGTATCGGCTACAAAAAAGCATATCGGTCGATCCCTACTTTTTTATTTTTTTGGTCACATGCGAATTACCTCTGTGGATGTTGCTATTATATACCAATTTGGAGGACAAATACGACGGAGCCAAAAAAAATCATTATAATGTATGCCAATCATAGTTTGGTATTCCAAATACTATTTCATGATTAATTACTGAGAAGTATATTTTAGTTGATAGGTGCACAGAAATTAATCGCATGGCCTTATTTTGTCATTTCTGTCATCTTGCTTTTTTTTTTCAAGACTGTATCTTATTAACACATGTAACTTGTTTTCTATTGTAAAGGTATTAGAGTTACAGAGCCATTCCAGAGCTAGGCCACTAACACTGTATTTTTTTATAACTTTCAACAACTTATCCTTATCAATCGTCTCAAAAGCACACTGAAAGTCTAAAAGGACTTCTCCAATCATTAGATTTTTGTCTTGCCCATTCTTCCATTCATACTGAACATTTTGAACAGCAGTCTCGCAACTATGTGCCTTTCTAAAACCCAAGTGGTTTATGCATAAAATATTATTTTTTGATACCTAGTCAACTAATGGCCCATAAACAATCTCTTCGTCCATTGCTAAGATGTTGATTGGCCTTAAATGACTTGCTGTTGAAGCATCATTCACTTTTGTTATAGGTCTTTGGTATAACCAAGGGTATAACCATCGAAATTTTTAATGCTGTCGGTACAATACCAGTTTCTAGTGAATAGTTAACTAAATTTAAAAGAGGGTTTTCGATACTTGTGAATATATGTTTTTTTATAAATTCTGCTGAACATTCATCAGGGCTATTTTTATTGGATAATTCAAAAACAACTTTTTCAATAATTCAAAAACAACTTTTTCAATTTGACAAAAAGTATTATGCCAAAATGAGTTACCTAATAGATTTAAAGGTATTGTTATTTTTTGTGAACACTACTGACATAAAACTCATTAAGACAGTAATTATAGGTCAGATATACTATTTATTTCATTGTTTATTTCTATTTCTTTAATTTAATATTTTATTCTCTGATAACAAAGGTTTTAGTGTTTCCCACATTCTCACAGCTCTATTTTGATGTTGCTTGAAAATTGTCTTATTATTGTTGGATTGACTTTGTTTGTAATATAGGCTTCGTCCCTTTGACTTATTGCCTCACATACCCTGTCATTCCACCACTTTGTCTACTCTTTATATCTGGATTTGATTATCATACTTTTTCTGGGTGCAACTTGATTAAGATTTAAGAACACTTAATATGTTTGAAAAAATGCGTCATATTTGTCATCCACACCCGCATGCAAATACTGCTAATGTATCAAAGAAAGTTTCTGACTCAACCCATCAAAGTAGTTCACTACAGGAAATAATTTCCTTGTCACTTCTTATTTCACTACTCTGGTGCAGACCTTATTTTTACTATACAGTGGGCTGTTATTATTGATGATTTAATAACATTAACACTGTCATTAATACTCTCAAAGTTACAAAATTACATATTTTTTTTATTGTTCTTCCTAGAGCTTCAAACAGCATATTAACGAATCCGACCCAGAACGAGTGAGACAGATTGTGAAAAGATCTTATGAGGACTGTGAGTGGATATTAAAAAAGGTAACTAATGCAATCGATTATTTTTGACAAGAAGCGATGCATTTTGCGTAAAATGTCATGCCCTCAAGGTAAAAGGGAAAAACATAAAATATTTTTTGATTTTTTCGTTTTTACAAATAGGTACTTCAGACTTCAGTCTTCAGTGACCATTACAATGTATTCCAATAGCATCATTTTGTCATTGAAATTGTTCAATTTGTTCGTGACACAAAGAAAATCTTATTAAAAATAATTTAAAATAAATTATGTCAATCCAAATACATATGAGGTTGGTTAGAAAGAAAGCCTAGTTTGGTTCTGGGTGACTTGAGATATCAAGGCCTACATTAAATTGAATTAGATTATAATCTCGACTGCACAAAACTTTGACATTTTTAAGAACTGTTTTTAACATAGATAAAATGTTATTGAATTACTAATAAATATTTTGATAATATATTATAATGGTGTAACATAACAAGATTTGTAATAATTCATTACAGTTATTGCAAAGAAAAGCATTTCTCAACTGGTTATATTAATTAGTTAATAGTTATTGTTGACATACCTACACAGTTCCTTTTTTTTTTAGTATCTGACGAAGTAAAAATAATGTTCCTGCTGCCACTAGCAAGAAGCTCCACCATTATTATACCCCAAAAATGATTCTGGGAAGTTGTGGTGTTGTATTGTACCAAAAACATTCAACAATCATTGTACCAATGATCTTGACCCCGTCATTAGCTTGTTGCCTATACATTTTCAACTATCATGCCTGGTAGCAGTGACCAACTGGAGACAAGCAGTAGAGGATTTTTTTGTTCATCTTTAGTGAATTTATTTTGTATTTTCATTATTTTGTTAACTAATGCTAATAAATAAATAAATAAATAAATGAGATAGTTTGTCTGGATCCCTCTAAATCTAGCTCTGGGTTTCAAATGAAGATCAAATATGGAAAGCTGATACCTACCTCTGCAATAAATTTTGCAATGTACTAGGATCCTATTTATTATTATTTTTTTTTTTAAATTCAATTTGATGTTAATTGTTAATTTAACACGTTAACTGCCAATTCGGTCTATAAGACCGAGAACGTCGTTTCCAGAAGGCCGCTGTGGTCTACAAGACCGTGTCCAAAACTATCCACCGTCGCCAACGCGGTCTATTAGAACGAGCCTCAATTTTTTAGCCTATAACGCCAAGCTATTATATTTAGGTAACTTTAACGAACAAATAGACCGAGCCAGCGATTAGGAATAGTTGGGACATCCCTTCCACCATTAACGACAGTAAGGCAAAACGGCGCAGACCGAGATACGGACCGAGTCGGCGTGCATGAATAAAATAAGTATTTGTATGCCGGCCGCCTCGCCACTATAAAAAAACCGTTCAAATAGGCATTCAGAGCTGGGCAAGCTACTTGGAAAAAGTAGCTAGCTACAAGCTACTTTATATTGTAAGTAGCTAAGTTACTCAGTAGCTCAACTTCCTCTTTGAAAAAGTAGCTAAGCTATTAGTAACTTAACTACATTTTGAATTAGTGAAAGCTACTATTTAAGCTACTTTTATCAATGTACATGCCTTACCTAATTTAATTTCATAATATCATCATACGAAAATAACATATTAACTTTCTCTAGGAAGAAGTATTCATATTTTTGTCAAAAACCACTGGACATTAATTTATTAGGTTCATTTTGATCACAGTGATCTGCGAATGCGAGAATAAAATAGGACACATAAAACATAGGTACCTACAGAGATAACTAGAAACTAGTCTAAGCAAGGCAGGATAAGAATTTTCCGGAAAATGATAATTGTAGCTTGAGCAATTAAAGTATAAAGTTACTTTTATCGACCGGTAAATTCAAACGCGGGCGATAGGTTGGTGGAAACGTGCCTTTATAAGCGAAAAACTGTTTATTTTTGAAAACAATGTCCAATGGATGCCATTATATTATAGGTATAGTTATTTTATTTCTGAACTAGAAGAGTCCACTGTGAATAAAACGTAATAAGTATTTTGGGCGTTGAGTATCGTTCACCACACCCTCGGGCGGTAAATGACAATTTCCGCCATTAATACCTAAATAACTATTAACTATCTACCAAAAGTAGCTTAAGTAGCTTGTTTTAGTAGCTAGCTACTTTTCACAGTAGCTTATGAATACTTGAAACACATTACCAAAAGCTACAGCTACAAGCTACTTTTTTTTCAAAGTAGCTTGAATAAGTTATTAGCTACCAAAAAAGTAGCTAAGCTAGTAGCTTAACTACTTGGTAGCTAGCTACTGCCCAGCTCAGGGCTGCGTTCAGATTGAACGTCGGGTGTCGCCCGAGCGCGTTCCGACCGTTCAGATTGCTTTGGGTAAAATTTACCCAGCCGTTCAGATTGTCAGTAGATTTTTACCGGACGACGCCCGGGCGCACACTTTTGCATCCCATAAAATAGCAAGATAAAATTTGCCCCGCATGCGCGTTTGTGTTCTAACCTTAAATAATAAAGGCAAATATTGTAAATAATTATTTTTGCGAGTTATGGTGGGTTTATCTAAATTCTTCGTTATCCTCATCAACTCTATTTAAAAAAAAGGTGGCCTCTTTCTTTTTTTTTGTTTAGTTTGTGATGCTAAATTGATAGCAATCACTGACACTAGCACATCCTCGTCGTCCGAAGATGAAGCGTCCTCATCATTCAATAACTCTTTAAATATGAAGATACTCTGGCTTCTTCCATAGTTAGTATTTATTTAAAAAATTATGAAGAAAACGGCAACAATGTTAGAATCATTGAGGTTATAAAGAAAGAATGCGTCTTGGCCGTTCAGATTGGGCGAATCGCCGGGCACAACCCGGGCACACTCGGAGTGCGCTCTCTATCGGGTGCGCTCTTCACTGGACGTCGTCCGGACTCTTCAATCTGAACGCGCCCCTGTAGGCATTGTTAGTAATAAAAGTACTATCCTTGGACAAAATATTATTTTGGAAAAGATTTTTTTTTTTGTGGCGATAGGGGTAAAGCTGCCGATATTGTGATTAATAAGTGATTAATCGTAGGTAGTAACAACTGTTAATAACTCATACAACACTTTGTTTGAGATGAAGCCACAAGCTAAATAGGTTTATTCCTATCCTTATCGTTGGAATCTTATGTAACCCCGTTTCTCTGAGTTGGTATGCTTTAGCTTATATTGCACTGACGAGGAGAAATAAGCCCGAAAGTGTTATGCGATAAGCGTAGTATCCAATGATTAAAAATTTGGATTTCTCCATTAGCTTCTAGAGCAAAACCACATGTATTGTATAATCTAGCAGTGACCAGTATCAATACAAACTCATTGTACGAGGTATAATATTAAACATATTATGCGCTGCAACCCAGCAGTGTAATTCTAACTACCCCCAACCTGATGAGTACTACTATGATTTTAAATCTGCTGATTACGCACTTCTTAATGATCATCTTAGTATGATCAACTGGGATGCTTTGCTCCAAGGCCCAAATGTGACAGAAATGGTCAGTATTTTTTACGACATCCTTTACACTGCTATTGACTGCTTTGTACCAAAGAAAAAGCTTTCCAAACCATAAATTTCCTAAATGGTTCCCCTTTGACCTAATGGAACTAATAACTAACAATCAACTAATAATCAAAACGAAAGAAGCACACAGAACCTGGAAGCGAGCTGGTTCTCCTCCTAGTGACTTTAAGTGGCGCACCCAAGGGTGGGAGTTTTGGGGGTTAAACCCCCCCCCCCCCCCCCCCAACCCCGAAATTTAGCACTGCTACAAAGAATTATCCGGTAAAATTATTTTTTTTTGGGATTTTGGTTAATAGGTACACAAACTTTCAATTTTACATAAAAAAGAATCCTATTTACGTTCCGCGAAATTACTGAAATCTGGAATCGAAACCAAGAACATGGAAATCTGGCAACCTGGCCCGGCATCGTACATCGCAGTTCGCGGTCATGTAAAGGTGCATTTCCACCCACAAAACGATTTAAATTTGCGAATGATCAGCAATGTTTGTGAACAAATTTATTTGATTGATGGAGACGGAATTTAGAATGTTTGCAAGCATGTGGGAAACCCTTTTTCTTTTAAATACACATGATTATAAAAACAGTTTTTCATCATTATGGAAACCCACCCCCAAATAAAAAACCTGGATGCGCCACTGAGTGACTACGACAACTTTTCGAATCTTCGCACTCGGTGTAAGACTCTTTCAAAGGACTCGTATCTGAATTATGTGCAGCGCTCTGAAATGTCACTGCTGAATGATCACAATCTCAAACACAATGGTTTGCCGTCTCACATGTTTTATAATAGCAACATCGCGAAAAATGGTTCAGAGATAGCTAATATCTTTGCTGAATACTTTCATTCTGTTTACTCCAACAAAATCTGTGTTGCTAGTCAGATCATCTCTCGGAGCGATGCACATATTCATGAATTTAATATTTCAATATCAGTTATTTATGAAGAACTATGTAGCCTGCAGTCTTTTAAGGGTCCAGGCCCAGACGCTGTCCCACCTCTAATGATCAAAAATTGTAGCTTTATATTATCCCGTCCACTTCTCATTCCAATAAATCCCTTAGTTTGGGTGAATTTTCTAAGCTGTGGAAGCAGAGCTTCATTATACCCATTTATAAATCGGGCGATAAAATGGATATTTCAAAATACAGGCCCATTAGCATCCAAAACACCTTCCCAAAGGTATTTGGGAGCATAGTGACAAAGTTTTTAACTCCAAATATCAATCAATCAATCCCTGGCTAATTGAGCAGCAGTCCAAAATGCTCAACTGAAACCAATATCCTGTCCTACCAGGACAAAGTTTCAAGGATTCTTGAGGATGGCGGATCAGTTCACTCCATATATACCGATTTCGCAAAGGCCTTCGACCGTGTAACCATGCCGTTCTGCTTGCTAAGCTTGAAAGTGCTGGAATCTCCGGTACTTTGTTCAAGTGGATTAGCGACTATCTTAGGGAGAGAACTCAAATAATCAAAATCAACAACTTTTTCTCACACGCCATTGACATCCCATCGGGCGTTCCACAAGGCTCTCACTTGGGACCACTACTTTTCAACGTTTTTATTAACGATATCAAGTCTTGTTTCATTAACAGTGAGTTTCTGTGCTTTGCGGATGATTTAAAGGTGTTCGCTCAAGTCTCTTCCATTGAAGACTGTGCCAGACTATAATCTGACTTTGACAGACTCTCTGAGTGGTGTGTTTTGAGCGGCATGGAGCTCAATAATGCTTCCAAATGCAAAGCCATTGTTATCTTCAAGGGTCATAGCCCTCCACAATTTGCGTACCATATAAACAACGTGCCGCTCGAAACAGTCTCACAACAACGAGATCTTGGTGTTATCTTTGACAGCAGTCTCAATTTCATCGCCCATATTTCAGATATCACGACAAGGTCATTAAAACTCGTAGGCTTCGTTAAGAGGTGTTCGAGAGACTTTACAAGCATATATTCTATCAGATACCTTTATTGCTCAATGGTGAGGCCCCTGATGGAGTACTGCTCCTCTGTCTGGTCACCGATGTACTCTAATCACATCAGAGCCCTAGAGCTAGTGCAGCGCAAATTCGTACGTTATTTAGCCTTCAAGGCTGGTATTCCTCTGCCTGAGAACTACGTATAGACTACGATGATGACCTATACAGACGCTTCAGTCTACAACCCTTAGCAGCTAGCCGAAATCAAAGAGATTTGTATACTTTTTACAAGGTACTGAACTCCATTAGTGATTCCGCATACTGTCCAGAATAGGGCTTCACGTTCCAGCAACGGACAGCCGCTCTTCCATAGCCTACTCAGAAAGAAATCGCCGTACAAACTATAGTTTCAATACATCCATCTCCA